AAATTGCTCAGCTTTCCTACTGAGTTGGAAGCACATGTCTGAAAGTTAACAGAAATTCACAGAAAATGCAAACACTAAGAAAATAACACAACAATGACAGAGTATGCCCGTGTACAAACAAATATGTATTTAATATATGTGAACAAAGAGCAAATGAAGTAAAACATTTTCAAACTCCTGAGAAGAAAGGGCAGACACTGTATTTTTGTAATTAAGGATGTCTGACTCAGATCTCTTAAAACAACCTTTAACAGGGCAACTACAAAGGTCTGTGACACAGTGTTCCTTGCTGAGTCAAAGGCAGGGCTCACATGTGCAGATTTGCCAAAACCTGCCCTCCTCAGCCAGCAGAAGTATTTCAAGCTGGAATTCCTCTTTAATGCGTTCAGCCTCGGCTCTCATTGTTTATGACAGCAGTGCACTTGGTTCTCAGAAGAAATCCTGGCTTGTAGGATTCCAGGAGAATAAATGTCCTGATTTCCAGTGGGAGAAAAGAATTTGTGTGTTCACACAGGCAAAGGTTTATTCATCCTGCTCAATGATTACACCCTGGAGCCTGGCTGGGAGGGAGGGACACAGCCCAGCATCCCTGGGACCATCCCTGGCACCATCCTACCTAACAAAACCATTTAGGGATAAGCCCAGGGCAGGTAGAGCCCTCACCAGGCTCACTGCTCTCTACACAGGCTTTACTTATTGTGCCAATACACACTTTTATAACGCATTCTTTTAGAAACCACCAACCTGCACAATAGTACTGTTTTCCTTTCACTTATAGTCTTATTTTTATCACACTTTTTTCACATAACTAAGTGTAAAAACACATTACAGGCAGCAAGTTTCATGATGTAAAGACACAGTATCACTGAAGCCCATTGCAGTTGCTACACTAAAAAGTTTGCTTCAAACCTTTTCCCCAACATTGCTGTTTCTGTATCAGATTTATTCAGCCCACACAATTTAATAGCTCTTCCTGAAAAGTTGCTCTCCTGCCATTGATGACAGCAGGCCACCTGCCTCTGCTAATTAGCAGGGCCATGCCCAGTTGCAGCTCTGCAAGAAGAAAATAGATTGGCTCTCTGGCTGATGCATTTCATTCTAGAAGACCAGAAGATGTTGAATCTGTGTCTCACTCCTCCAAAAAGGTTTTAAAATTTTCTGCAATGTACAGTACCTCACCTGAGTGCAGCTAAAAATCCTCATTTTTCCTAAATCTTCTGTAAAAGTCAGTCATTCGAGACATCTGAGATTTCAGCAGTATTTAAACATACAATTAACATTTAAAAATTATACAGGTGGATAAAACCAGGTATCATTAGTCACTTATTAGTCACCTTCAAAACAGGCAGCGTGTTCGTTATGTTAATGTCCTTGGAGTGTTTAAAGCAACCTTTTGCATTTGAAGTGGAGGCTCTTGGTAAAAGGTGGCACTTAATAAGAAATGGCATTTACTAAGGCATGCTACTCTCCAGAAGACTGCAGTATGAATTTTAATTTCTTCTTGGCCATGTATCAGCTAAGGCTAACGCAGGCATTTTACTTTAGAAGCAGTAGGAAGTACAGTAAAAGTGAAAACCAAAATGAGAGAGGACACTAATCTTCTCTGAGTTTCAATTAAGGACCAGCACCTCTGGATTAAAGGCTTATTTTAACGAAAAGCCTTAATTAAGTATACATGTGTATAGGATCACCTTAATGAGGTATGACAGAAATAGAAGAGATGGCAAGCATTATTTGAAAAGAAGCTTATTAGCCACTTTAGGAAAGTCAGTCATAGATTCTAACAAAAAAATTGAATGCAATACTGAAAAGACACAAGAGTGCTGAATCATGTTCAAGCATAAAAATGAAACTGAAACAGGCACAAGAGAATTTTCAGTAACTTAATAATAATTTTCAGTATCTTTATATCCCTAATGATACATGTCAGTGATTTTTCTACACATCAGTGGGTTGGCTTTGGAAAATATTTCAGCATTTACCCTTTCATTTAAATTTTAGACAGCAGAAAATCAAGTTTTCTACTTTATTTCCTAATTAAATTTATTACTGAAAATCTTTAAAAGTTTATACTGTAAAATATCCCTTCATCACATTTGGTGTCAGGATAACGTGTAAGTTTCCTTTAAAAACTGCTATTTTATCATTTAATTCCTGCCTTTGGAAACAATCAGTGATTTAATGTCATTTTAAAGATAGCCACTTCAGCTGCTTTTTCCATCTTCCCCTACCGTACAGAGAGGTATTCTCATTTGCAGATTTGACTTTAAAGTAATTACTTGTAATTACAGAGAAGTGCATCCAGTGGATTAATCACTCCATTTATATGCTGCTCAAAGGATTACTCTCAGGACAGCCTAACTGCTTTTGCTCAGAAAATGTCACTTCCACAGGAAAACAAATCTCTCAAGTCAGCAGCAGCTGAGAAGGACTCTGACAAGTATTTAAACCCAAAAAATCAAAGAAATTGCACACCTGGATTTGAGGCACCATCTGTGCCTGTTCTCCTCATGAAAAATAAAGGGCCACCAAGTGAGAATAACCAGGGAAATGGCCAGAGAAAGCCCACACTCCTTCTAGATGGATTCCACACAATTCTGCTTCTGAAAGAAACACATCCAAAGACATGGGCAGTGCTTTGGCTCTGGAAGCCACATTTTAAAATGTGGGAAGTCCCTGAAGGAGCTGATGCTGTACCAAACACATCCTTACCATGTCCCTGAGCCATTTTCCTTGCAAGGAAGAAAATAGAATACATCAGGACAAACACCTTTGTTTGATCCATATGGATACTGTTAATCTGTCCTCTTTTTAAAGATTTCTTCTTTTTTCAGTCGTGATTCCATTATAGAGTAGCCAAAGACACAGATCACCCAAAATGGCAGTGAGGAAGCTGCTGAAGGCTCCGGAGCACAAGTCCTGTGAGGAGCAGCTGGGGATGGAGAGCTTGGAGAAGAGAAGGCTCAGGGGGCACCTTGCTGCTCTCCACAAGTACCTGAAAGGAGGCTGTAGCCAGGTGAGGGGCAGTCTCTTCTTCCAGGTAACAAGCAGTATGGATGAGAGAAAATGGCCCTAAGTTGGGTCAAGGGAGGTTTAGATTGAAAATTGAGAGAAATGTCTTTACTGAAAGGGTTGTCTAGCACTGCAACAGACTGCTCAGGGAAGTGGTGGAATCACCATCCCTGGAAGTGTTTTTAAAAATGTGTAGATGTGGCAGTTAGAGACACAGTTCAGTGGTGGATTGGCAGGGCTGGGTTAATAGCTAGACTTTTCAAGTTGTTTCAAACCTAAACCATTCTATACATCTGTGATAATCATAGGGCCTGCCTTCCATCTTACTACCTGCCAGATTAAAAATACACATTAAAAATTGAAAAGCACAACAAAAATATCTTCAAATCCAAATGCACAAGGAGGAACACAACTAATGCTCACTAACGTCCCCATTACCCCACATACATACAGCTAAAGGGGGAAACACTGCCTAGAGGCAGTGGGGTGCACTGAGTGGTAGGGAAAACCAGAAAGGATCGTTCCCAGGGGCTTCCCTGTGGACAGTGGCTGGTATCAAGCCAGGAGAGGATCCACTGCACCCTCTGAGGAGAAGGAAGCAAAATCTCCCACTGCTACCCTTCCCTCAGAGCTTGTGGGGCTGGGGGGAAAGGGACAAAAGGTTAACAAGAATCATCATGGCTGGAAAAGATCTGTAAGACCAATGAGTCCAACCATCAACCCATTAACCATTGCTGGATCCACCACAAAGCCATGTCCCCCAGTGTCACACCCACAGCTTTCCTGCAGCACAGAGTCCCTCTGGTCAGCCCATCTTGACCTGTGAGTGGAGAAGAGCAGGGCTGGCTGTGGAAGAACCACACACTGAAACATCCAGATCTGGGCTCCCAAGTGCAGGAGGAACATGGACCTGGAGGAGTGAGTCCAGAGGATGCCACAGAGATGGTCAGGAGGCTGGAGCACCTCTGCCATGGAAACAGGCTGGGAGTTGGAGCTGTTTGGCCTAGAGATAGGAAGGCTCCAGTGACACCTTAGAGCAGCTTCAAGTGCCTTAAGGGACAGCAGGAGAGGGAACAGAGTGATAGGACAAGGAGTTAAATGGCTTTAAACTGAGAAAGGGTGGATTTAATTTAGATATTAGGAAGAAATTCTTCCCTGGGAGGGTGGTGAGGCCTGGCACAGGTTGCCCAGAGAAGCTGTGGCTTTCCCATCCCTGGCAGTGTTCAACGCCAGGCTGGATGGGGCTCTGAGCACGCTGGGATAGTGGGAAGTGTCCCCAGCCATGGCAGGGGAGGTAGAACAAGGTGACCTTTAAGGCCCTTTCCAAACTGAACCTTGCTGTGGGTGTGAACCAGAGCAGCCCTGTGGGCAGTGGCTGCTCTTTGTCACAGCTGAGGGGTCTCACTCATCCCTGCACCTCCACCCTGGCACCAAGTCACATCCCTCTGCTGTACTGGGGGATATTGGGACCTCAGAGGAGCAGCTCCAGCCCAAAGGGGCTGCCAGCATCATCCCTGCCCTGTGTATCACCGCCTTCCCTCTCTACAACAAGCTAATCCTGCAGAACACTTCTGGGGTTTATTGCTGCAGCCACATCTTTGTCAGTTCAGCCTGAAATTTGTGATTGTTGCCATTAGTTCTGAGTCCATTCCCTGCACACTGCAGGCAGCCCACTGAGGGTGAAATGAGGTTGCCAGGAGGGGAACAGACGTGGTGATTTATGGATCCAAAGTTAACTTCAGTGCCTGGAACAGATGTTAAGCTCTTTCCCATGGGATCCTGAGGAGAAAACAACAGAAATTGTTGCTTCTTATCTGCTATTGAGGAGGCTGCTTCTCCTGAGAAATATTATTGAAGTCCTTGTACATGTCTGCATGTAAAGGAACACTATTCTTGTCAAACCAGCTAAAGATTAGCAATGGAACATCATGATTTTTAATAGGGTTCTATTCTACATCTCCTAAAATAAAGCATAAGCATGGGGAGAAATGGAGGAACAGGTAGATAAGCCCATTCCCTGTATAAAAATAATACATTCTTGTTTATATTCAGAAAACTGGAAGGCAAAATTAGCCTTTGGGATTGTTTTTAATTATATGAAATTAAAATGTGTTTGAGCATGCCAAACTTTTATAGCTCATAATGAGTTTATTGAATATAATAATTATGAGCTCAGTAATTAAAACTTTAAAATTACTGTTATTTTATTTAATATAAATGATAAAGCAAAGATTTCATTTGACTTTTTATAAGTTAAAACTAGGATGTGTCAGAAACATCAATCTTAAATTTCATATTACAGTAATTGCACGTTAGGCTTCAACTACTGGAGCTGTATGTGCATAAAAGCTTTTAACAATTCAAAAATATTGGCTAAGTGCAGAGTTTCATTTAATTTACTATAATATGTATGGTTTTAAATAATTTATAACAATAATTATTCAAAATTGGTTGGGGTTTTTTTGCTTTTTAGGGCTGCCTCTCCAAACAAGAGACAAGAGCAGTTTCTGCAGTTGCTCTACAGGATCATATAATAAACAATCATCAGCTGCAGGATCCTTTAACATTCTAAGTCAAGGACAAGGAATACCAACAACTTTTACAAATCCCATGAATAAAAGAAATAGTCAGTGCAATAGCAAATACTGGACTAAGAAAAAAGAGCACAAAAGCAAGGAAGATGCAGAAAAGGAGAATCTTCTTGACCCCAGTGCTCCACAGCTGACATTAGGTAAACCATTCTGATTTGTAACTTTTGGTATTATTTAAAATAAACTGAAATGTGGAGGCTAAGCTTTGAGTTCAGAAGATGATTTAATACTCAACAGCATGGTATCTTCTTTTAAAATTTACCAAAATTCAGCAGTTTAAGCCATTAGGTAGAAAATGGGATTGCCATCACTGCCTTAAATGTGTCTTTTCATATCTGAAATGCATTTATAACATTATTTTTGTGACAATGAATGTAAAAAGGTGAAACTGGGTCATCTTGATGAAGACATATTCTTCATTAGAAGCAATAAGTACTTTTAATGTCTATTGAATGTCATAACATTCTTTACATTTTATTTTAAGAAAGCATCAGTGATTTTCTAACTACATTTAGTTGGGGACAGGTTCTAGCATTAAGCTTTTTTTAAGGTCTATTTGAAATGGCCTGGTTTATTCCTTATTCTGTAAAAAGACATTTAATAAAGCTGCATGAAATGTATTCTTTGTTAATATATACGCAGCTTTGCCCAAAGTTAAAAAGGTTTGTTTATACAATGGTCCTGGGGCTAAACCAGGGAAGAATTAACACCTGTAGCTAAATACCTTTTTCAAATTTAGAAGCAAACATGCAGCAAGATAAAAGTCACAGATGTGAGGGTTTGGAATGATGCCTGGTGAGAAAATTCACTTTTAAATAGTGTTATAATAATACAGTTGTGGAGCAGTGACAGACGATATTGCTTAGAAAAACAAAACCAGGGAGCATCTTAAGGGACCAGGAGATCAAATGTGCTTCTTGCCTCTCTGTATTTCCCTTTTCTAAGGATTTAAACACTATTTTTGCCATGAAGATCTTCTTGTGTCCATCCTTTCTGTTGCCTTGATTAAGCACTACTCAAAGAACCTTCTGGCTCCAAAATTTGCAGTTTTGAGTATAATAAACTTTTATCATTGTCAATAGCTGGTTTATTTAATCTTTTTCATGCAAACACCCTTTGGCCTCCCTGAAGATCAGGTGGCTTTGCCACAGGAACTGTCACAGCCGTCCCAGCTCCAGAGGGAACCCATTAAACCAGGGATGCTCCATCCAAGCACATCTGCCTTTGGAAACAGCTGTAAATTCAGAGGGAAATTCAGATTGTGCACAACAAGGGAGTGTAACCAGTGACAGGACAAAGGTAATAAGATGAGGTAATTAGCACTATATTTACATGGTTATAGCTCTAAAGAGGGCAGGGTTTTTTCTTTGGTTCATTCTGAAGAGAGGATAGCAGGGGGAAAAACAGAGAAGAGGTATTGGGGTTAAAATGAACATCAGTGATGAATGATTATGGAAGCTAAAGGCTGAGGTGAAAAAATGCAGCCCAGGTGTGAGCATGTTTTCTGCTGTTATTAGAAAGACTGAGTGTTTTCTCTTTAAATCACAGCACTGACTGAGTTTTCCCACACAGATATTGGTAAAAGGGATTCAAAAGATTGTGCTGAGATACTTTGTAGTATTTCCACCAATATTCTCATATTATTTCACCAATATTATCATATAATATCTCATATAATTATAATAATATTATATTCTTATATTATTATCTCAAAATGCATCTGTCAAACTTTCTCTTCCTTAATAAGGATTGTGTGGTTTAAACATTAAAACTGCAAAACAACATTGAAAATGTAATTTAATGGAACATTTTCTTCTTGAGTTTATGGGTAATAAAAGAAAGTTTAAGAGGTCTGTGTCATTCATTTTTTTCAATAGGGGTTTGATTCCTAAAATCCAGCAGTAATAGTTTAAAGGTTAATTTATGTAAATGCTTCAATAAAGTTTATTTTATTGGTTGTAAATGGGTGTGTCAGTAAATGGGTTGGGCTTTTAAACTTGATGCATAGGATGAAAATTCTTGGATGTCCTGAGCTGTGATAAATGTAGTTTTTCATTGCTTGTATCTTTTCAAAGTGCTGCTTTGAGAATATCTCCACAGAGCCTTTTGCTTTGACCACATGTCCCTCCTTGTGTGTCCTGCTACCAGACTTCCTTCAGAAACTCTGCTGTATAAAAGATTTCCCTCAAAACACCTGTAGAACCTGTCTCTCACAAGTGTCCCATCTGGTCTGTATTATTTAGAAATTCAGTTTTGCTGCCAATCTCTTCTTGTTTGGCAGTTTAAATAATCCATTTCTGAAGGCTTTAAATAAGAATTTTCTATTACCCTGGGGGTATACAGAACGCTTTCCACAAAGCCATCTCATTTTCTTCCTTAAAACATTCTCTGACCACAATGCTTGGAAAGAAATCAAGATCAGGCATTTTTTAGGTGGTGATGGTGTCTTTCATGCTGTCCCTGCTTTGCTTTCTTGTTCCCTCCCCCTGTACCCAGATTTTCTCATCGCAGAGGCCATCACTCCATAGATTGAGCCACCAAAATGGGAGAACAAAAGTAACCAGGTGGGGTCTGGGTGAACCAAACCACATGCAGGGAAATCCCTCCCCACATTGTTCCAAAAGCATAAACTGACCCAGTTGAAACCTCAAAGCCGTTGCTCTAAAAGACAGATTGACTTTGATTTATGTTTGAAGGATGTCATGACCTCACAAGGCAGTGAGTTAGGCAGATAGTTCAACTAAAGGGAAGGCAGTATTCCTGATAGATCCTTTAGTACCTCTCAAAAGTTCTTTTAAAAGATCAAAGGCAGTTTGTGCAAATTTCAGATGATTAACGATATACATCTGTAGATGGATGAGCTCAGAAGGAGAATTTTAGCCTCAAAAATTAACAAATCCTGCCCTAGAATAATGAGACACTTGAGCAAGGGGATCACCAAAACCCCATGACTTGCTGGGATTCCTTTTTTCTTCATGAGAAATGGGTTTGGATGCACAAGCTGCCTGATGGGGGTTTGAAAGCTTACACAGAACAAATATGCGCTGCATAGTACTGTCAGATTTGTGCACAGATTCTGGTATGAATGATGGAGTTTACCCTTTCCTTCCCATCTAGGGCTGAGCTCTCATCTAGGTGTCATCACCTTGCATTGTAATTATTGCAATTATCGTATGTCACTCTTTCTTGTTTTGTCAAACACCAGTAAAGCCTCACCATGGACTCAAGTTACACAAATTACTGGCTTGTTACACAAACCTTGGACACTTCTCCATGGATTCTGGTCAATCAACACAAGCAGCTTCTGCTGCTCTTCAAAGGTGATCAATTTCTATATTCTGCTAGCACATGGATTTTACTGCTGAGGTACTGACACTGGACTTTATCTGGCACTTGTGGGGGCAGGCAGGAATGCTGTAAGTATTTCACATGTAAGGAAGTTCAATGATTCCTTCTTTAAGAAAGCAGAGATTTCACATCTACGTGCAGCAGGCACCTCACATTCATTGCTGGAGATGGACAAGATCAGCTGTAACAGTGACAGCATCACTGGCCTCTTGTGACCATCTCTTTGTCTCTTCATGCTCTTTATTTTTCTTTCTTATGTCACAGCCTCCTTAAACTTCACAATTTTTCAGCAGCAGCCACAGTTCTTTATTATACTACTTGATTAGTTTTTATTTTTAAGAATGCATAAATGCAATGCTGAGAAAAAAATTCACAATTCTGAGATTTTATTTGTACTGATTTTTTTGAAATTATGTTGTTACATTCCTTAGTTAATCCCATTTTAATGGCTCTGAAAAGTATCAAAATAAATTCAAATTACTCCTCAGCAAATAAAAATTTACATTTAAAAAATCCTGTCTAAATCCTGTATGTAAAAGAGGTTCTGGTAATTACTGGATAGCTAATCCATTCATGATTTAGATTGGAAGGGACCTTAGAGATCATCCAGTTCCAATTTCCTGAAGTGGACAGGGACATTTTCCACTACCCCAGGGTGCTCAGAGCTCCATCCAGCCTGGCCTTGAACACTTCCAGGGATGGAACAGCCACAGCTTCTCTGGGTTTTTTCTTTTTGGTTCATTTTGAACCAAAAAAAACCAACCCAGAGCAGCTGAGCACCCTTCCTTGTCATTTCCTGCTGAAGAATGGGTAAAAAGAAAGAGCTCCACACAGCATGGGAAATCCATACAGTGCTGCCCAATATTCAGGAAGGAATTTGCAATTCGACCCAGGGTACAAATATAACTGAATAAGTGTGTGGACTCACAATTGCATTTACTTATTTTATTTTCCTGAGGTGCTGGTGAAAGCCATCAGCTGGAGGAAGAAATGAAGGAAAGATTTTCCTTTTAATTCTTTACAACACTTTAATTCTAGTTTTAGTAAGCGGACCAACTCAGTGGCCAACTCTGATATTATTTTGAACATGATATAGTAGAGGAAGATTGGTAGCATTTGTGCACTTCTGGTGTTATGACAGTAGAGAAGCCTTTTTATCTGTTCTTGCAAAGCAGGTATAGGCTATTTTCTGTTTCAAATAAACTCCTGATAGATATGATTCTGGCCTTCATTCATCAGGGAAACATTTGCTGTTTGTACAATTCAAGATTGAATTTTGTCTTCTCAAAATCTTCGTTAATTTCAGATGCGTACAACAGTTATTTCTATTTGGGAAACAAAGCAGGTGTACACCCAATGCCAGACAGTCACTTCCCCAGGTTATTTGATGAAATGCCTGCATTTTACCTTGATGGCCTGCTCAATGCCCATGTGTAACATGGGCATAAACACATCCTGCTTTATTACATTCTCTAATCCATCATCTTGAAAATATTAAGCAAAAGAGACAAGTGACTGATGGAACAGAGAGCTGCTTCAGAGAAGTGATGATGGTAATTAGAAGAATTATCCCAATTGCTTAAAATTTCCTTTCCACAGTGTATTTTAAGATAGTTTGTCTGCTTGCTCCCCTTTTAAAATGCTTAGAAGACTTTTCACAGCCAAGTGTGTGTTGTGAATCAAGTCTTTGAATAGCCTTAGATGCAGGGCTGTTGCTTCTTTTTACACCAACATTAGGTGGAGGTGAAGAACTGTCCACAGACAGATGGGACACGTCTGGAAAGATCTGCCAATTCCTGGCTACCCTCAAAGTCTGAAACTTCACAAGAAGGAGCAAAAGACAGCACTCATTAAGAAGGTTACTTCAGATTTGGCACAAAAAGGCAAATGCCTCTGGAATTCTTTTTGTCCTTGGTGTTTCCTTAGCTTTCTTTCAAGGGAAAAGCCACTGTATGTGAAAGCTCTCCCTCCAGCTTCTCTGGGCTTCTTCTGGGCTTCACTCCTTCCCCAACTTCCCCTACCCCTAAGAGCCAACTGCTTTTTTTGTCCAACTCTGTATCTTTTGTCAGGACAGAGATCATCAGCATTTGGTGGGAGTGTAGGTCAGATAAAGGTGAATTTTTCTTGTAGCCTGTCAACTTTCTTTCTCTTTTGTTTTACTGCACGTGAGAAACGCTGCATCTGATGTGCATCACCTCTTGAAATGTAATGTCTCTGTTGGGAAAGGGGAGGAAAATTAATCAGATTTCATTTTAAATGTTTGGTTTATCATTTTTTCCTCCAGCCAGCAGCAGTTGCCATTTCTTCCTTTCTGCCACCCCATGTGCTGTTACACAAAATTCACAATTTCACAAAGTAATTTTGTTTTCACTCAAAAGAGTGCAGTAATCACAGAAGCAAACTGATGACCTTTCAGAATTTTTCTTGTCAGCATTTTTTCCTTTTCAGCTGTTAGAATGCTTTAAAGTCAGGTTTGGTTCTGGGGTTGTTTTCTTTCCTTTGAAAAAACAGGTGCTGCATTCATGTTCCCATGTAGTCCATTAAGGGAGTACATTTTTGTATAACTATTCAAGCACATAATACATGAGTCTTTTAATTAAACTACCTAAGTGAATATCTTAATGAATTAAATGTAATCATCTTGAAAAGGAATTTTGATTCCAGATTTTTATGGTAAGAAATATAATTTAAAGCTATTTTATGATGAAGCACTTTATTCTTTTTTATAACCTTTTTTAAAAGCACATGGGAAGAACATAATTTGTAACTGAGCTATACAGAAGTATTCTAACCTGGAATAATTTAATCCATGAAATTTCATGTGAATATGTGGAGACTTACAAAATTCTCTTAACGTTTTAATTTTAAAAACATGCATGTTGTAGAGTGTTCATGGATTGAATAATTAACTGTTTTTACATTCTGCAATCTAGTCTGTTTCATCTGTACCAACGAGATGAAATATATTGCAAGTCATTGTAATTATAATTATTTTTTCAGTGATGCCTGAAAACCTTTGAAAAATTTACAGGTAGAAAGTTGTCCCATGTGTAGAAAAGAGCAGGATCAGACCAGAGTAATACATGATGGGGCATGCTTAGTTAAATTGAATTAATTAGGTAAGCTTTACTTCTGATACAGGTGTGTCACCAGACAATATTTATTTCTTAATAATGTTCCAAGTGCATTATACTTTTAGTAAGAAACTAGACAGAATGCATGCACTAGAAAAGCTAAAGTTCAAAAAAATGTAACAAATCATTGTTTCATATAAATAACTAAATTATAAAAATTTGAGTTTCCTCTCCTTGAGCAGAATTGTGTCTTACAGAATTTAAGCTTCCTGGCGGGGATATATTATTGGAAAAGAGTCTAAAGACTTAAGGGAAGCAGTGCCTCCTAAGGATAGAAAATTAAGAAAGCAACTGTTTGAAAAAATGCTTTGCTATATTTGCTTCCTTGGTCTTGTTCCTTGGGGCAATTCAGCTTCCTTAAACTAGAACTCCTGAATATCAGGAGTTTCCTCCCTCCCTTTTCACTCATTTCTTCTCATTCACACTGAACAGGCAGCACTGTTGTTCTGTCAGTCTGCTCATTTCATCCTCTTTAGAACCAGTGCAAAATCCTTCCCTGGAAAAGAGAAAAAGAATATCAAGGTGACTGAAGAACACTGAATATGAAGGTGACGGAAGAACGCTGATGTTGCTCTCAAAAGTGCTCAAGACCTTAACTTGGAATAAATGAACCTGCCAGTGGATTGTGACTGTCCTCAAGAAGCAACACTAGAACAGACAACCCTTGGATTTTCCTGCTGTTTGAAAGTCGGGGGAAGCAGATACAGGCATTTTTCCCAAGAAGGCTGCCAGTATCCCACGGGCCCAAGACACCATGCAAAGCCATGAAACAAGGTCTCAGCTACAGGAGGTTGGAGAAGGCTCCTAAATGTGCTGAAATCTGCAGCTGAATGTCATTGGTCACAATTTCTCTCACTGAAATTCAGATGGCTACAGCAGAATCCCTCCAAGCCACCTGCCCTGGGCTTTAGGGTCCCTGCCCTTGGCACCTGGCTGCCCACATTTCAAAAGCCACAGAAGGATCTTCATCCAACAGGGAACAAAATGGGGACTGCTTTTCCACCTTCTATTAAGAATAAATTTATAAAGTCTTCTCATAATTATTAGGTTTGAATAAATTCAGTGCAAGTCATGATTAAAGGACCTGCACTTATTTTCCTTAGTGGCTTTCAAGTGGGAACTGTAGATGAGTTTTCCTGCTGTTCACTCTTATACTTAAAATGTTGGTTAATTAAAACATTAAAGAAAGTTTTCACAAGGAGCTATCCATTTCCAGGCACTAAAAAGCTCTTCTAAAATAGAATTTACTTCTCAAAATTGAACTGTGCTTTTAAAATGTCACTCCCTAAACATTAGCATAATCAAATGGCATCACAATAGCAAAAAAAAAACCCAATTATTTTTTTAATAACCCTGCCACCTTTGGAAGGATCACAAAGGTTAAATGTCAAGTTTCATATGCTTAAATAAATATCAGAAAATAAAAAACAAGGTCTGAAATATTAGTACTAGGAAAGACACATATTGCTTGTTTCAGGGTGCTACAGTAGCCCTTATTACACCTGGCATTAAAATTTTTAATAATCTAGATCAAAGGAGATAAGAAAGGTCACTGAAACCAAAGTAGGCTACTTTTTAGCACTCCCATACACAGAGAGCAGGGTGTTGCTTCAGCATGTTAGGTAGTGAATTTCTTTGATCCTCCCTATAAATGTCACTCTGTATGTCATTTAATTGTGGTATAGCCTTTTATTGGTGCAATTAAATCTTTTCTAATGCATTACATTATCTCCAGCTCTGCTAAAAATCCTGCCATTGTTTAGGAAGCAGGAGGTAAGTCATTGGGAAATGATGCAGTTGACTTTAGTTTCTTCCTCCCCCCTCCACATGATTTCTCCCAACGATTTTAATTTAAATCTCACCAAACAGTATAATGGTCCTGGAATTTGTTTAGTCATTTGACTTCCTTTATCACACAGAGATGGTAAACATTCTGTTGCTAACCTGAAGTGGCTCCAAGCAGCAAAACTAGGAGGATATTAAACCAGTAAAAGCTTATCAACTGATTCATTGATATGCTGTAAATTCCAGCCTTTTCATTTTACTTTTGAGGGTTGCCATAAGTCAACACATTAGTAAGCAATTTGCTGACATTGGATCACTTAAAAAGGCTTCCCCATGGACAAAGTTCACCTCGGTGCTTTGTTTCATGGTTTCATTTTATCATAGTCCTGGGCTGCTGTACAGATGACTGATGCAGCCCTGCATACCGATGGGGGATTGCACAGTCACTCTCTGCCACTCTGTCCCAGCTTCAGGAAGTCTCACACATAAAATGGACAGGGTATGGTGTTTTCAGAAATGAATTCAATTGCTCTGTTTCAGTTATTCAAGGTTAAAAAAAAGTTATTCGGTATTATGTATTAAAATTTCATTTTTACATCCTAGAACACGACAATAACAAATTATTTAAAATGCTGATTTCCTTTCCATTCACATTGATAGTTCACACTGATTTACCAGTTAACAAAAATTCTGGGTTAAATTTTAGTTACACTTCTTTTTCTTCCCAACCTTAGACTTTATTTACTGATTGATTGGTATGAATTGGGTCAGACCACACTACAGAAAATCCAGGAGTAGCTCAAAGATAGTATCTTAGCAGCAGAGGAACTTCATAGATCCCTGTCTCATGCAGGAAAAGAGTTTTCCTCTTTTGTTTTTTACACTTCCAGCTCAGGGATGCTCACTTTATTACACCACCAGGTCAGGTCTGGTCACATCTGATACCACTATAAATTTAGACCAAGCATGACTCATAAGTGTTTTAAAGTGATCAACCTTTACTTGATGGGGAACAGAAACCCCAAATTACATAAGAGTTGGGTGTAATCTTCCCTTGTTCTTCCTGAAGCCAGATTTTAATATGAAATCAGTAAGAGCAGTTCAAATTGCAATGCAGAGATCCAGTTCTAGAATCCAGCTAACAACGGTCAGGTAAAACTTAACAGGGCTGTTATTAATTAAATACATAATCACATTAAAATATTAAAGATACAAGCAAGGTTTCAATGCTTTCTCATTCAAAGAGCACATGGTGTCACCAGTCAGGACTGTTTGGAGACCACAAAGTGTAAATACTGGAGGAGGCCTGTGGTGGGACTGCTGTTTGTTTGTTTTTTGTTTTACACATACCACTGAAGGTCAGTGTGCACGAGAGACTGGGACGTTTCTTTCTGGGCACTGAGCAGTGCTGAGGGGAAGCACCAGATTCCCCACCTGCTCTGTGCTACACAGAATTCTCTCAGAGAGTACAGGAGGGGCTGCTGCTTTTCCCATCATTTTGGGATTTAAATACATCCACAATACAAAGGCTCTCTGGGAGCTTTTATGGTACATTGCTAAATCAGCATTTACTAACAAGGAAATTAATCCTATTTCTACTGACAAATGGATACATCCTTTCAATATCCTGTTCTGTTAGGGGTCATTTGGGAACACAGAACAGTTCTCAGCAATGAATCAGCCCATAGAATAAAAAGAATATGAGATCGTGTTAGCAGAAAATTTAGGAAACCCAAAGTTTATATAAAATCTTAGTGAGTTCTTTACATCATTTCTGAAGGATTTTTGTGAGATATGGGCTCTCGATTTCTTTGGGTCTAGAAAAGTTAATTTTAAATACTCTGATATATGCTATGGAGGGTCACTTTCACAGCTGGAAGGGAACAGATGTGCTAGTAGAGAAAAGCTACCAAAAGAAAAAGAAGTTAAATGAAACAATAGGAAAGTGTTCAGGTGCCATGAGGCTGTCTGACCTTGAGCTCAATCCTTCTGCCACCTCACCTCCCACTTCCCAACCCACACTCCCTGAAAAAATGGCTCCTTCTTTTCCTAGCAGGTTTTCTGTCACAGGAAATGCATGGAGAGAAAGGCTCACATTGCCTGGTCATGATACAGATGCCAAAACGTCCCTTAAAACTGCTGCACACATTTATGGGCAGCCACACAGACAAGACTAAGACTTGTGTGAAACCCTGCAGAGCTTTCAGACACAGGGCTACATTAGGAGGAAGTGGCTACAGTGAGCTGGGATTGCACTCAAGATGATTAAATTCAAGAAAAGCAACCCTTTTAGATATTTATTTTGTTGAGCCCCTGTGGGAGCATCTTCAGATATAAAGATGAGATTGCCCAGGACTATACACAATATGCAGAAACACACTCAAGGCAGTAAAAAGGCATAAAAATGTATACTGAGGACACCTGAGATGCTTCTTCTTCCACTGTCTGTCAAAAAAAACCAAACCAACCAAGCCCAAAAAATGCAAAGAAAAAAGTACTGAAGATATGATGTAGTGCCAGAGCTCAAGCTTGGAGGTTTCTGTCTCCCTTTGAGCTCTGCATTTCCAAAAATACATAAGCATCCCCACAGACAGCAAAAAGGATGATAAGAGGCCTCCATAAAACTGTTAAGGGAATTGGGGTCACTTCTTATATAGAAAATTAAGGGAAATGTAACCTTTCAGGTGTGGAAAATAAAGGGAAATGTAACCTTTCAGGTGTGGAAAAAGCAGGTGCAAGCAGAAAGACTTGTTTTACTATGGATGTTTGAGAACAAAATTAAAGCTTAAAGCCTGGCCAGGGCCCTTCACATTTGACATTTATGAAATCTTGGACAATTAAACAGTGGAATATACTGCCTAGAGACAGCCCAGCACTCTCATCACAGGCTGGTTAAATACCAGCAATAATGCAGCAATGTTTGATCCTCTGCAGCTGGATGGATCAAACACCTCCAGGTCCCTTCCAGCCACGTGATCCTTGAACTTTAAAATCAGCCTAAACTCTCCAGTGAAATGGAATTTAAAGTCTGAAGCTCTTTAAGTTACAGACAGTTTAGGAAGCATGGTGGTCAGCAGTTTAACATGTAAAAATTGCCCTTCAGTCAAACTATTAAGGAATTGCAAATTACTTACAAATTACATAACGAGCATACTTTGCTATAAACAATCCCCACTGGCCTAAAGCAGAGAGTTCCAATTAATTGCACACCTGTCTTTAAACACAGGGCTATGATGCCTCTGAATGTAGAGGAATCTCCATCACATTCCCTACCTCAGCTATTTTAGAAATGCAACCATTTGAGAATTTCAAAAGCAGGTTAAACTGGGAGAAAGAAGAAGAGAGAAGAACACAACAGAGATTATTTTTTCATTGCTCATAATAAAAAAGGGACAAAACTCTGATGTAAATCACACTTTACCTTTATTGAAAACACAGTAAAAAAAAATTTTCCTACAAAACATTCAGTGTAACATTTCAAACAAAAGGAAAAAAAACATATTACCACTGCTTTCCACAAAACAAAACAAAAATATCAGCCTAGCTAAGGCAGCAGATTTTTTTTTTGGTAACACAACAAA